GCCGTATAGCGTACCACAAACGGACCTTTTGCTTTGAAAAATGTCAACAAGGTTTCTTTGTCCGCACCCCAAGACCTGTCGATAAGGGACTTGAGAACGTTGTTACTTACTTACTTAGCTGGCTTGTTACAGAACGGTTGTTCCATAAGCCGAGCTTAAAAAAGATTTCCAAGCGCGTCGGTCTTGTCCACAAGTCCACCAATTTGGAAGACCACGTTCCAAGATGTTGTTTTCTACTTGGTCTTTCCATCTAATTCGTGGCCTTCCCCTTCTACGGGAACCATCAGTTGGCTCATTTGTATATGCCTTTTGAGCTGGGGCATTTTCATTCATCCGCATAACATGGCCTAGCCACCGTAGTCGCTGCAGCTCAATACGACTGACTATGTCGATGTCCGCGTATAAATTGTAAAGCTCGTGGTTCATTCGACGCCGATATTCACCGTCGACGCAGATCGGCCCGTAGATCTTTCGGAGAATTTTTCTCTCAAAAACCCCAAGAGCTGCCTCACCTCACCCCAAGAGCTGCCGCGGTGCCACCTGGGGAGCTATTCTCATCACCCGATGAAATAGTCAGCTAATATGTGCCGCGAGTTCACCCATAAGAACTATAAAAAATGGGTTGAGGCGTCGGGTTAGTTGCACACTCTCGGAAAACCCAACCTACTATGAAAAAGCTAAGAACGTTGTTACTGTTTCAACTTTGTTGAACTTTACAGCCAACATTTTGCGGTAATTTGTGGTCCAAATTTGTGCCCCTTTGACTATTATGTTCAGCAGGAGTTCATTCATGTGATAAATAGTGTGGCTGTGAATTTGGCGTCGGATATTTTCATATTCTTCAGATGAAAGAACTGTACTTTGGTACAGTTCACCTATATAGAAATTTAACATTTCACATATGCCATCGATAATGGGACCCGACTCCATCATCATTCGCATACACTACGAATTCTCGCAGTTATGGAATTTCAGAAAGGTAGAACATCTCCCTGGGGAACTTCCTGTTTCACTCACGGTTATTTGGCTACTGTTTTTGAATTCCATATGTAACAGGCCTCCACACATATATTTGATTATCCAATGTTTCAAACAAGGACCTAGGACCTATTCTGGTTCAGTTTTCTGCGAATATGCTGTTGATTTTGGTCGAATGAAAATATAATTATTTTCTGGGGACGGAAGTGAAATCGACGTACCATGCACCTCTTTGCTTGGCTACAGTAGTAGTACCAACCTCCCCATTTTCCAGGCCTTTAATAGAAGCCCAAAGTTCAAATACCTCATAGAAGACCAAAAATGTTGTTTTTTTTTAATACAAGACTACCATCAGGTTAGAAAATCAAAAAATTGGTCTTCATAATAGAAGATCTAAAGATTATCTCCCTTACTTAGCTAGCTTGTGACAGAACATTTGTTCCATAAGCCGAACCTAAAAAAGTAATTTAAAAGACCATATTTCGAAATGTTGTCTTCCACTTGATCTTTTTCCATTGAATTTGTGACCTTCCCCTTCTGTGTGAACTGGGGCATCTTCATCCATTCTCACAACATGACCGAGACCGAGGTAGCACGGGTAGTATCAGCGTCTTGTAGAGTGCGAGTTTGATATGGCGAGAGGTCACCTTGCTATTGAATTGCTTACTTAGACCATAGTAGCATCTATTGGCCAAGACTATCCTTCTCCGGATTTCAAAGCTGATGTTATTAGTTTTGCTTATGGCGATACCAAGGTATATAAAATCGTTCACTACCTCGAAGCTGCAGATCTCAAGTTCCACAATTGGTCCGAGTCTACTGGACGTCTTGCGCGTTGATACCATCATCTTGATCTTCTCGCCATTTACTGTCATACCCACTTTGGCAGACTCTTCTCAATTAGTTCAAAGATCGCTGTTACCGCTAGCAATGTTCGACCCATTGTGTCGATGTCATCGGCGTAGGCGAGTAACATGTGTTGTTTGGTGTACAGAGTGCCATTTCTGTTCACCTTTGCCTCTCATATGACCTGTTCCAGCAAGATGTGTAAAAATCCTCGTTTGGTTCTGAGGGGCTCCGACCTTGTGCCAGTTAAAGTTATCCTGCATAGGGCTGTTGAATGCGGCTTTATAGTCAAATTTTCCAGGATTTGTCGCAGTGTGAAAATCTGATCTATATAGGTCTGAAGCCGGATTAGTATGGTCCAATAATGTCAATGATCATTGACTTCAGTCGTTCACACTGTACGCTGGATAGCACTTTATACGCGGTGCGAAGGAGACTAATTCCTCTATAGTTGCCTCATATTGTCTTTTCTCCTTTTTGTGCACGAGCCACATGATGCTGAGGTTCCAATCATTGGGCATGCATTCCTCTAGAAAAAATTTACTAATCAGTTGGTGCATGCGTCTGACCACCGGTCTTGAATAGACCACCATCGGCACCTGCTGCTTTATTAGTCTTTAGCCAATTAATTGCTAGTCTTTAGCCAATTAATTGCTTGGCTAGGTGATGTACAATCTATACCGTTATCTCTTATTGGTTCTCGGGGTATCTTCTTCATCGTTACTACTTGATACCAGAAGCTTTGCAAATTGCACATTCCAGATCCTCACACGCTGTCTGCATCTGTCACCAAGTTTCCTTCTTCTTCGCTACAAGAGGATGTGCCTGCTCATTTGCTCGATTTGCTCAAGCTGTCGTTTTTTTCTTTCTTCTTTTTCAAAAAACATGTTACTCATTTCTCCTTTTGCCCCGACAATTCCCTTTCGCGTTGCGTGTTGCTACTGTTTACATGGTTGCCATATACACTGCATTTTTCATCACAGTAGCATTACGACACTCCTGATTGTTCTGCTATCTGTTGTGTTTGCAGGTTTTCGACGTCGAGTTTCCGTGTTGTGTTAGATCGTACCTTTGCTGCTTGCGCATTAAGACGAGTGCGAACCTTGGCTGCTACAAAATAGTGGTCTGAATCGATATTGGCTCCTCGCTCCTGAATGCCTTCAGTCTATCACAATATGATAAATTTGATTTCTCCTTGCTTGAGCGGGAGAAATCCAAGAGGCCTTCTGTATATCAAGATTCTTGGTACTTTTAACTACCCTGTTTTTTACTGCCGCGAAGTCAATCAAACTCATGTCGTTGTCGTATGTTTCTTCAACGAGGTTGAATTTTTACGACGGTGGGGCCAAGAATAGTTTCCCTTCCGATTTTTGTATTAAAATCTCCTAGCAGAATTTTAATGTCATGGCCAGGGCAGCGGTCATATTGTATTTTTAGGCGCTCGTAAAATATGTCTTTGGTCTGCTCATCTTTGTCTTCCGTCGGAGCATAGGCGCAAATAAGACTGATGTAGAATAACTTTAATACGGATTATAGCAATCGCTCATCTACTGGACGAGGTCTTTTATTCTCTTTTTAACCATAAATCCGCATCCGAATTCATGTCGCGTTTCATGGCAGCTATAATACAGTACATAATCGTCGCATTTCCTGTAAGGCAATAATATCGGTTTTGTACTTCGTTAGTACATCCGCCAACGCGAGAACTTCGCCGATTTTGTGCAACGTGCGCACATTCCAAGTGCAGAAAGCATCACGATAAGTTTTCGGGTGTCGTCAATATTAGGCGGTTTGGTTTTCTTTTTCGTTGCTTTCTCCTTGTAGTAGGGATTTCCGAGTGTGGGGAACTAACCCGACGCCTCAATCCATTTTTTTAGTTCTAATGGGTGAACTCGTGGCACATATCAGTTCACTAATTCGATGGATGATGAAAGTAGCTACCTCAGGTGACACCGCTGTCACAATTGAGATGAAAAAGGTACCAAGGTAAGCCTGGGCTTCGCCATGTTAAAAATAGAGCCGTTGCTTGGTATCTATCATCCCCTACGTCCAACGTTTCAAATAAGAACGACGGTCCTGTTGTTCTACTGTAAGCCACGTTCTATTTCAGTCCACTGCGAATATGGCGTTGATTTTGGGCAACATAAGCGATATGGCTACTGTGAACCGAAAAGAAATCGGCTGACACGATTTTCACTCTGTTGTTTTGGGTCATAGGCTGTGAGCTGAATGTCTTCTTCTCCATAGTTGAGCTGAAGGTGTTCTTCCTCTTAGCAGATGCGAAGGTCTTCAGAAAAGGTATAATTCCTCACAGCAAAACTAAAGGTCTTCTTTTTAATACAGGAACTGAAGGTTTTCTTCTTCAAAATGTTGATTTTGTTAAAAGAAACTCAAAGAGTGGATTATTCTTTTTGGAATACCGAATACCTAATAGAATACCAGAAGAGTTTTTTTTTAATAGAAACCCACCATCAGATCTACATAAAAATCAGAAGGTGGTCTTCTTAATAGAAGATCTAAAGATGTTCTTCCTGGAATACCAAATGGTGGGAATTGAAGACCAGAGGATAGACTTATTCTTCTTCCTGGAATACCATAGAAGACCAGAAGATGGCCTTCATGATAGACCTGAATGATTTTGTTTGTAGAAGACCTTTGATTTGAAAATTCAAGTTTGAAATTAAAAGTTTTCCCCACACCAGAACACCCGAAATTTGTCATATCAGAACGATGTTTTCTTCATTGAAGACCTTCTTCCCAGAAGACCAAAACATACGGAGATCTTTGTTTTTTTTAATAGAGGAATGGAGAATGATCTTTCTCATAGAAAATCAAAGGCTGGCCCGATCTCGGAAGTTCATAAGGTAGTTGTGCCTGAGAAACCTCAAAAAGTCTGGCCTGGTACAAAACTTATATTTCTTTTATCTCGGGTTTTCGAGTAGCTTTTTTATGGATTTTTTAATGGACGTATAGGGGGTTGGTATGGTCGAGTTTAAAATTCTATTATTTTTTTTGGTTCTTTTTATTTTTATTTACACTTATATTCTTTAGAAATACACACGATTTGTATTCAAACTGTGCACTAGTTCACCCCAAAAGCGTATTGTATGGCTTTAATAATAACATTTTTACAACATCCACAAATTTATGTAAAAAAATAACAAAATTATTTTTAGAATTCCGATATGAATACCCGGCAAATGAATGCCACGGGACCGAAACGTATCAATGGAGCCATTTAAGATCTGGAGAAATGAAGTCCATGGCCAACAGGACACCGCCACAACAACAGTGCAGGGTATATGCAATAACCAAAACAGCAACAACAACATCATGAACTGCAAACAGCAATGTGACACCAAACGCTCAACAGCACTCGCGGTCAACAACAAGCGGATTATCAGATTTTGACAAGATTCTTCTTTATTTCGAATCCCAAATATTATAGTCGAATCCCAAATAACCTACACGAATTCCAAGCGACAACAGTATGACGACGATATGTTTTTTGTAACATTTCTAGCACAAAAATTAAAACCTTCAAAAAAACTTAGCTTATAGTCTTAAAAAAAAAACAAAAATCGATATCAGGAAACCAACCGAGTATTTTGTATGGAAACAAAAACTGTTTATGTTCTACACAAATGAGACTCAACAAAAGCATATTTACTATTTATTACAAGAACAAATTCCACAATTTATTAAAAAAAAAAAAAACAAAACAAAATATTAATTAAGAAGAGTAAAAACGAAACAAAAAACTTACTAACTTGCTTTAAACACAATATTGTGTTGTAGTTTTATAATTGTTTATCTTTGTGTGTCCGTTTTATTGTGTTTGTTTCCTAATTTTTTAAGAAAAAAAATAAATATATACATAACAAATAAAAGAGAAACTAGCGTTGTGTAGAAAATAAAAACAAAAAACATAAAAAAAACAAATATATAAAACATTTTTATTAAGAACGTATTTAATAAAATATTGTCATTTCGCACGAATTTCTGACAGTTTTTCCTAATAATAATAATAACAAAAGAAGTTAAGGTATGTAGCAAAATTATTAATCAAGTATTTCTAGCAACGAAATAGCAAATTGAAAATTTTGTTTTTCAATTTAATCACTTTTTTTGGTAATTCGTAAACACACTTGAGCTATTCGTTTAATTCTACCTTTAGAAAAATCTTTAATTTAAGAGTCAAATGCTTTGGTATAGTCTTAACTTCTTATATTTATAATATAATTGCAGAATAATAAAGATTAGCGCCGTTATCCATTCTACATTATGAAGTTCAATTCTTGCTGAGCGGCTCATATAGCCTTCATAGCCCAAGCCATAAATTTACTAAAAATTATCAATATTGAACCATGTTTATTGGTTAGCTCCATATTTCCTGATTGATTTAAGGAAGACCAAGTACCCGACCATTTTAAGAACATTTTTATATACTCGACATGGTGCAGTTATCCATCGGCACCCGCTGCTTTATTATTCTTCAGCCGATTAATTGCTATCCTGACCTCATCTTGGCTACAGTCATCTCTAATTGGTTCAGAGGTATCTTCTTCGCCGTCACTATTTAATACCGGAAGCTTTGCAAAATACTCCTTCCAGATCCCCAACACGCTGTCTGTATTTGTCACCAGGTTTTCATCTTCATCTCTACAGGAGGATGTGCCTGTACCAAAGCCTTCGGTTTGGTATTTTACTCATTGGTAACATTTCCGGACTTATTTTTGACTCCTGTACACCAGTGTTGTGCAATGGGTTTCTTGATGGTGGTCTTTGGTACCCAATAGCTTTTCGGCGTTGAGTTTCCGTGTTGTGTTAGATCCCAACTTTATCTATTTGATTTCTCGTTGCTTGATCGGGAAAAATCCAAATGGCTTTGGGTATATCGAGATGCTTGAATGTGGTGCTGCTAACTACCATGCTTTTTTCTGCTGCGAAGTCAGTCAACCTCATGTCGTTGTCGTATGTTTCTTCATGGAGGCTGAATTTTCCATCTGTGAGACCAAAAATATTTTCCCTTCCGACTTTTGCATTAAAATATCCTAGCAACATTTTAATGTCATGGCCAGGGCAGCGGTCGTATGCTGTTTCTATGCGCTCGTAAAATATGTCATTGGTCTGTTCATCTTTGTCTTCCGTTGGATCATGGGCGCAAATAAGATTGATGTGGAAGAACATCGTTTTATGCGGATTATCGCAATTTGCTAAACTACTGTAGTGAATCTGGAGACGAGGTCTTTTATTCTCCTGTTAACCATAAATCCGCAGCCAAATTAATGTCTCGTTTCATGGCATCATCTGAGTTACTTACGCCAGTCCCTTTCCATCGCATTTCCTATAAGGCAAAATAATATCGACTTTGTACTTCTTGAGTACATCCGCCAAAGCGAAAACTGCAGATTCGCAGAACGTTTGCGAAGGTTGTAAAAATTAGGAGGGATTGGTTCTCTTTGGTTCTCTCTTTCTCCCGATTATGGGCAACTAACCCGACGCCTCAACCCAATTTTTGATAGTTGTTATGGATGAACTCTCGGCACATATGAGCTCACTATTTAAACGGGTGATAAAAATAGCTACCAAAATACCAAACCAGGTGACACAGCAGGGACGTCAGTGTCTACAACTGCGATGGAAGAGGGACCAAAATAAGCCTGGGCTTTGCCATGTTAAAGCCAATCAGAATAATTCTAAGACGATCTAGCCATGGTCGTCCGTCCGTCTGTTGTAATCATGCTTTTGAAGGAATTGAGATAGATGGCCAAAATTTTGCATAGAGTTGTCTTTTGTCTGCAGGCAGATTAAGTTCGAAGATGGGCTATATCGGTTCATGTTTAGGCATAGCCCTCATATATAAAGGCACCGCCCAATTTTCGATATATTTGGGATATATTTATTGGAAGAGCTGCGAACAAGACATACGTGCCTAAGCCAGTTAAGGTTAAAGGTTCCAAAATAAGTTGGGCCGTCTGTGCTATCTTAAAGAAGCATTTGTTTTTGATTAATATATTTCGAATATTCAAGATTCCTAGGCCACAAAATCGAAAGACTGCTCAGTTTCAGAAACTTAGAAGATGATGAATAAATTGAACTTACCCCCTCTATTCGTCCTGCAAAACCTCGTCGAAACATAAGTAAGTATTTGATCCTACTACTCTATCCATAAATGAACCAAATATATACCATATCCTTTCCGATTCATTAAAAAATAATGATTATTTATTTCTGTTTTATTATAAATTTATTCTTATTCTTCTTCATAAAAGAGCTGAAGGTCTTCTTCATAGAAGAGCTGAAGGTCATCTTCTTCTTCATAGAAGAACTGAAGGTCTTCTTCTTCTTCATAGAATTGCTGAAGGTGTTCTTCTTCTTCATAGAAGAGCTGAAGGTCTTCTTCTCCTTCATAGAAAATCTGAAGGTCTTCTTCTTCATAGAAGATCCTACTACTATATCCATAAATTAAATCAAATATATACCATATCCTTTCCGATTCATTAAAAAAAATAATGATTATTTATTTTTGTTTTATTATAAATTTATTCTTATTTATCAAATAAACGATTAATAATAATAATATTATTTATTTTATACAAAATACAAATACATTTATTCAAATTGGGCTAAATTTGATGTTGATGATAACACTGTTTCTTTTCCACAAATATTTTGTTCTTCTAAAAATACTGGGGTAATAATAGAAGGCTGTTTATAATTTATTTTAACGATTTCATTTTTGGAGAGTAGGGGGTTTTTCATAATCACTTGTATCCAATCACACATACATTCAACATAAATACATAACTAAGATTATACGGATAATATTCTTAAATTAATAACATTATTTAAAGAGAGAGAGAGAGAGAGAGAGAGAGAGAGGGGAGATTGGGGATGGGATGTGGGTAGGAAGTTGTGAAAGTAAACTAATCATTATACAGTTTATATAGTTTAGAATATATTTTTTTTTCTCGTTTTTTGACAATATTACACATCTCTTGGGTTGTGGATCGAACAAAACCAATGATCCGCCCCATTGGAAAGATTTAATTTTACAAACAAACAATAAAACAACTGGCTACCATGCGCTCTCTTTTTTGTTTTGTTCCCTTCGAAGGTGTCGGGGAGGAAGGAAATCATTTCCTCAAGGGGTCCAAACTTTCCAATGTGAAATCATCTACGGAAATTTTACTCAGCTTCTGGGGGAAAATACTTTGATGGTGGTGATTGACCGTGTTGGATGTATCAAAGGGATCCGAACCAAAGAGATCGGCAAGATTGTTGTTGTTGTTGTTGCCATTGGTCATTAAATTGTTAATGGCATTTGGTGAAGTGCTGTTGGTGACCGAGGTACTGCGACGTGATGCCGAGACTTTGGGTGGTGGAGCCACTAAAAATTAGAACAGTTTAAATTGTAATATTGAAAATAGATTTTCAAAATTTCAAACTACTTACACAATGGTGGTGTTACGGTCAATTCACTGAATGTGTTATTGCTAATAATGCTGGTATTGTTGTTGTTATTATTATGGAATTTATTATCATTGTTGTTGTAGAACAGCTGTTGACCAAACGAATTCGATGGCTCGAAACCAAACAAATCATTGCTAATATTTTTACCACTTCCAGTGCTATTGCCATCCGTCGATTCCTCAGCCCGCGGATCAAAATCACTATCCGAATCGGAATTCAATAATAGCTCCTCCATCTTTTGGGCATTATTATTCATGGATTTATTGGTTGTGGTGTTGTTGTTATTGTTACGTGGCGGTACAGCGGGTAAGAACAGTGAAGATTTCAGCGAATTTGTCGAATTGGTATCAATCAAAAGGGTCTTATCATCGTGATTTGACAGACCATTTGATCCATTTGTCAAATTCTGTGATGCATCACCATTTGTGGTCACGGTCTGTTGTTGTGCTGGTACTTCCAAAATGTCTTTGATATTTTGTTTAAACAAATATCCATCTAAATCGGATTTCGACAACTTTTGGGATAAATCTCTCAGTCGATTCTTATAGATGTTGACCGTTTTCTCTAAATCGGCAATCTGTTGTTGGGCCTTGCCAAGTTCCGTTTTCTCTGTGGTGCTAACATATTTTCTGGAAGAGAGAGCACATGAGATTAGAAGAGAGTTTAAAATAGAACAGAAGATTTCCAATACTGAAGAACTGAACGTCTACTACAGATTCTAGTCATCTCTACAACTGAAGAACTTTTTCTGCTTCATAGAAGAGCTGAAGGTCTTATTTTTCTTAGTAGAAGAGCTGAAGATCTTCTTTTTCATAGAATAGCTGAAGGTCTTCTTCATAGAAGAGCTGAAGGTTTTCTTGTTCTGCATAGAAGAGCTGAAGGTCTTCTTCATAGAAGAGCTGAAGGTCTTCTTCATAGAAGAGCTGAAGGTCTTTTTCTTCTTCATAGAAGAGCTGAAGGTTTTCTTCTTCTGCATAGAAGAGCTGAAGGTCTTCTTCTTCATAGAAGAGCTGAAGGTTTTCTTCTTCATCATAGACGAGCTGAAGTTCTTCTTCTTCATAGAAGAGCTGAAGGTCTTCTTCTTCATAGACGAGCTGAAGGTCTTCTTCTTCATAGAAGAGCTGAAGGTCTTCTTCTTCATAGAAGAAAAAACCATTTGGTTTTCTATGATAAGAACTTTGGGTCTTCTAAGAGAAGACCTTCAGTCCTACTATGAGAAGATTTTCGGAATTTCTTTGAGAAGAACTTCGTGTGTTCTTGGAGAAGATCTACTGGTCTTCTATAAAAAAAACAACTTTTGCTCATCTTTGAGAATAACTTTTATTAGAGAACTTCGGAACTTCTATGAGAATAATTAAGGCTCTTCTAATAGAAAAACCTTCTTATCTTTTAAAGGAAGAACTTCGAGCTGTTCTTTGAACGAAAAAAAAAACGTTCAATGAAAAAAACTCTTGGGCCCCTTTGAGAATACTTTGATGTTTCTATGTGATCTAATTGAAAACATTCTTCTCTACAATCGATTCGAGTTCTTTATAAGAAGAACTTCAGGTCTTCTATGAAAATGCGATTTGGTTTTCTATCTTATCTACTATGAGAAGTCTTTCCGAAAATGTTGTCTATGTGCAAATCCTTACCTAAATGCCAATTCAAATGCCTGACCGATGGTCAATGTTATATCCGATGCCAACTTATTCGAAATGAAAACAAAACATTCATGTGTATCTTCGGTGGTTGATGACGACTGGGTCGAACCGTCGGGACTACTGCCGCGACCATTGGAGCTGCTCGTATCTCCCGCTGCGGGCTTTACAGTTTTCGCAATAAAACTAAAGAATTTCTTGACACCTTTCTCGTCGGCACAATACGAGATATTGTGCAGCGGGAACTGATGGAGAATCTTTTGGGTGCGTGGCTCCTGCACGGCTACACCATCGACACTAATGGTGATTTCGACTTTTTTGAATTTCTCCTGTGTACCCGTTTCGGCCTTCTTCATTTGTTGGGCAAATTGCAGTTTACGTATGGTATCCTTGACGACTTCAATACCCTTGGGTTGGTCCACGGGGACATTGCCAAAGAACTGAAAAGAAGAGATCGGAAGATTAGTTTGGCGTTTTTTGTTGATTTAAAAAAAAGTTCAGACTTACTTTGACTAGATAGACTACATGACCATTGATAAGGGCTTCGGGTGTATGCAACCAGTTGCGCTTTCCTGCCTTCGAATCCTCTTTGTTAGCACCGTTCTTAGTTTCCGTTACTGCATCAGCATCCTTGTCTTTGTCCTTGCTTGTGTTGTTGTTCTGTTTATTCCAAAACTTTAATTGTGATATTTTCGCCGTTTTCTCCATGCTGTACTAGACTCTAAACGATCAACGTTTCAATATTGAGGGGGCTGGTAATCTGCAAGGCAAGAAGAGGAAGAACAATTTAGAGACATTTTGTATTTAAATTTAAATTGAATTTAAAGAAAATTTGGAAAGTGGAAAAGAGGAAAGATTGTGGACGGCAATAATTCACTCCGTTAATGTCCCATTTGGAAGTGAGAGATCTAATCCTGTAGTAACCTGTTATGATCCCCACAGTGATTTTAATCTCCCTTGGAGGGTGAAATAACTATTTGTCGAAAATTTTCGATATAAGTCCATATTATAGCCCTTGCATTAATATCCGGCCCATTCATGGAATTTTGAAGTTTTCAGCCACAAAATTTACCACCGTAGTGGTTGCAATTTAGCATACCGGATTTTCGATTATGCCCAAATTTGGTCATAGCTGCCAAACAAATGCCCCCTCTTAGCTGGCTTGTGACGGAACGGTTGTTCCATAAGCCGAGCTTAAAAAAGATTTCTAAGCGCATCAATCTTGTGCGCATCCCATCCAATTTGATAGACCGTTCTGCGTGAACCATCCCTTGGCTCGCTTTTATCATCTAGCCCAAGTAGCCGCTGCAGCTCCATCCTTCTGACTATGTCGATGCTCGAGAATAGATGATATAGCCTGTGGCTGTTACCGCTCGCCATGTGCAACCCAACCCGATGTCTTAGGCGTAGGCGAGTAACATATGATGTTTACACAGTGATGTGTTCAGAGTGCAATTTCAGTTCACATTTGCATCTCGTGTGGCCTTTTCCAGGAGGCTGTTAAACAAGTCAGACGACAAACTGTCACCTTGTCCAATCAGTGATTCACACAGCACGCTGGATAACACTTTATATGCGGTGGGAATGAGACTTATTCCTCTATATTTGGCACATATCGTCTTGTCTCCTTTTTTGTGCACGAGACACAGGATGCTGAGGTTTCAATCATTGGACATGCATTTCTCTAGCCAAATTGTACTAATCAGCTGCTATTGACCAGCATCTGCCCACCGATCTTGAATAGTTTGGCTGGTAATCCACCGGCACCTGTTGCTTCATTGTTCTTCAGCGGATTAATTTCTACTCTGACCTCATCTTGGCTAGGTGTTATACAATCTACCGTCATCTCTTATAGGTTCTGGGATATTTTTCAGATTTTTGGTACCCAATTTTTGCTTTTGCTGAAATTTGTAGGGATTTGGCAATTCTTTGCCATTATGATTCTATATTATTATCGGGGCAAGGAGTGCTTTCGTCAAGCAAGTGGGTAAGTTGAGCGGAGTAGGCTTCTGCTTTCTTTTGTGTTTGCAGCTATTCGACGTCGAGTTTCTGTGTTGTGTTAGATCACACCGTTGCTACATTTATACGAGTGCGAAACCTTAACTGCTGCAGGGTAGTGGTCCGAATCGATATTCGCTCCTCGTATCTATGGGACGTCTAAAATATTGGATGAATGCCTTCCGTCTATCACAACAATATCAATTTGATTTCTCGCCATGTGGCCTTGTCTATATAGAGATACTTGGATCTGGTGCTGCTAACTACCGTGTTTTTTTGCTGCCGCGAAGTCTATGGAGACTGAATTTTCCGACGGTGGGATCAAAAATATTTTCGGTTCCGATTTTTGCATTAAAATCTCCTAACAGAATTTGAATGTCATGGCTACGGCAGCGGTCATATGCTGTTTTTTGGCGCTCGTAAAAATTTCTTTGGTCTGTTTATTTTTGTCTTCCGTCTGTTCAGAACTGTTCAGAATTTTGGAGGTGTTCGCCGGATTTTCCCACCGAAGAAGTGATTGTAATTTGTCATTTTAAATTTTGGGAATAACAAATTTCTCCAAATTTCGCTAAATTTTCGGTATGTTAAAGTTCCTGGCCCAAATTTTCATATTCAGTATTTAATATGGTACGCTATCTAAAATATTGCCTCCAACGAAAAATAAACTATTGGTATTTTATGGTGTGGCTTGAAGTTTTGCGAATGCTAATGGATCTTTGATGTTTTCTTCTTATCAGTAGTTATTCTCTATTTGCAAATTACAAGTCAACAAATTTGCGGTAAAATTTCCTAGTCAATATTTTTAAATATATTTAAGGGCTTGAAAATTATGAAATGGCCCGCATACCTTCATAAATTGCATTCTGTATTTAAATGGCGGGAGATAGGTGTAAATACCATTAAATGGAATTGAAATAAAACTTGAAACCAGACGCTATAAATATGGGCAGATGGAAATATTTGTGGAATTTGAAATATTTGTTTTTCACTTCGTGATGGTATGTCTGTCAAGTGATCACTGCCCCTCAATGAATCTATTGTTTACGCCATTGTTACAATGAATATTTAAGGTGCCTCCTCTTTCCTCCCTTGCATTCAGCCCTAGCCTGTTGTCCAGTTTCATGTGCATGTGCATATGAATTTTATTAATTTTTTATTGTTATTAACTATTAAAATATGTGTATTTTGTTCACGACAAAAATAAAATCGGAATTTTTCAACACGAAATCATCAACGATGTGGCCAGACGATCAGTTTACCATTCACTCACTCGTAGTCCCCACAGCAGCATCTGCTGCTAGTTTAGATATTAGATATTTAATTTAATTATAGAAAAAAATAATTAAAAAAAACTATTCAAAAGATTAATGACAAAAATACAAAAACAACAAAAGGACAGTGGATTTTTTCTCTTTGTTTTTTTTTATTTAAATATATTTACAGTCACTTATAATTATTGTTATGTTCAGCAGTTTTTTTTTTTGTTTTGTTTAAATTAATCTCACAACAATATGGGAGTGTTGTTGGTTTTTTTAGAATCCCGCCAGTCAGCCTGCCTGCCAGTCACTTGATGCGATTAGACTAATGAATATAAATTTTAAAAGAAGAAGAAACGTTGTCGACAATTAATTAAAGATTCTAAAGAAGCCTCAGGTAGTTAGTTATACAACAAAAATAACAAAAGTAGAGAGTACTTGTCAACAATTAATGGATGGATTTTTTTGGATTTGTATGCATTTTTAATTGCCCTTCGTTGTATTATTGTAAAGTATTATGTATTTAGAGGAAAGTTTCCAAAGATTTGTCATTAGAAATCATAGGTTGACAGGCGAGGATAAACATTTAAGAATGATATTAAAAAATAAATAAACCAGTGAGCGGAGCAGTATAGTCGGTCGGGGCCGACCATATGATACCACGGAACTCTAACTTTCTGCGGATTTTTATTTCCTGCCTGGGCAATATTTCGCGATATTTGCACTGTCTTGACCGACAAGAGGTCAACAAACATTACTAATATTCAGTACATCCCTAATATGTGCCACGAGTTTACCCATAAGAAACTGGGAAAACCACCTCACATTCGGAAAACCTCTCCTACTATGAAAAAGCAACGAAAAAGAAAACCAAACTCCTTAAATGTTGACGACCCCCGCAAACGTATAAAAGATCACGATCTGCGAATCTGCACTTGGAATGTGTGCACATTGAGCAGAACAGGCGCAGTTTTCGCTTTGGCGGATATACACAAGAAATACAAATCCGATATTATTGCCTTACAGGAAATACGATGGAAAGGGGCAGGCGTAAGCAAATCAGACGATTACGTCTCCAGATTCACTCAAGTACATGAACGAATGGCTATAATCCGTATAAAAGGCATTCTTATATGTGCCCATTCTCCGACGGAAGACAGAGATGAACAGACCAAAAACTTTACGAGCCTCTAGAGACAGCACATGACCGCTGCCCTGGCCATGGTAGGAAATTTTAATGCAAAAATCGGAAAAAAATTGGCAAAAATCGGAAAAAAAAAATTGGCAGCACTAGATTCAGGCATCTCGATATACCCAAGGCCACTTGGATTTCTCCCGATCAAACAACGAGAAATAAAATTGATTATGTTGTAATAGACGGAATGCATTCATCTAGTGTTTTAGACGTTCGATCGATCCGAGGAGCGAATATCGATTCGGACCATTACCTTGTGGCAGCCAAGTTTCACACTCGTCTAAATGTAGCAGCAAAGGTGCGATCTAACACAACCCTGAAACTCGACGTCGAAAAGCTACAAACACAACAGATAGTAGAAGGCTATTTCGCTCAAATTACCCACTCGCTAGATGATAGCATTCCTTGTCCCAATAATAATACAGAAGCACATTACGTGTTGCAGACAGTAGCAACACGTAATGAGAGAGAGAATTATTGGGAGAAAATAAGAGAGTATAGTATTTTCAGAAAAAAGAAGTAAGCGTGAGCAAATCGAGATATACAGGCGTCGGAATGAAGTCCGGAAATTTTAGCAACGAGTAAAACAGCAAACCGAAGGCTTTGGTGCAGCCACATCCTCCTGTAGAGATGAAGATGAAAACCAGTGTGTTGAGAATCTGGAAGGGCCCTTTTGCCAAGCTTCTGGCATCAAATAATAACGGTGAAGAGGATACCCCTCAACCAAAAAAAGATGACGATTGTATACCACCTAGTCAAAATGAGGTTAGAATAGCAATTAATCGGCTGAAGGATAATAAAGCAGCAAGTGCCGATGGATTACCAGCCGGTGGTCAATTCAAGACCGGCGGTCAGACGCTGATCTGGTGCATGCCCCAACTGATTAGTACAATTTGGCTAGAGGAATGCACGCCCAATGATTGGAACCTCAGCATCCTGTGTGCCGTGCATTATAAGGGAAACAAGACAATATGTGTCAACTATAGAGGAATTAGTTTCCTTCCCATCGCATATAAAGTGCTATTCAGCGTGCTGTTTGAAAGACTGAAGCCATGGGTCAATGACATTATTGGACCACACCAATGTGGCTTCAGACCTGGCAAATCCACTATAGACCAGATTTTCTCATTTCGCCAAATCCTGGAAAAGACCAACGAAAAATATATCGACACATTTCAGCTATTCGCATTCGACAGCTCTATCCGTTCAGAGGTGTTTAAAGCAATGTCTGCGTTTGGCATTCCTGCAAAGTTAATTCGGCTATGCAGGATAAGTTTAACTGGCACA